TCCACTGAGATGTATTCACTAGTATTCAGTTTCCATGTTCATTTGTCAGGGTGTCGAACTCAACTTGCTGCTAGTTAAGGGTAACCATCAAAAGCATAAAAGGGTTATTGATTATAGATTCTGAGGACTGAGAGTGTTGTTCTCTTCCAAAAGTCATGGTGAAACAAAGGTTGACTCACAAGTTAGAAGACTTGAATCCTAATTCTACTTCTGATAACACTAATTTGTAACCTTAGGCAAATCATTAAACCTCAATTTCTTTATCTGTAAAATATGGGGATTGGACTAGACGACACCTGAATTCCTTTCTAAATCTAATGCTGTGATCCTAGAATCTATGTCTTTTTCCCCCCTACATCTTGTCAGTAATTCAAAACAAACCCCAAAGTTGTTTGTTCTTGTGAAATATCATGGGGAGTAGATGCTACTGTTTCTGCCATTTCTTCTTCCTTGATGTCTAATGATAAAGATAATTCACATGTCTATAATGGTTTAAGGTTTATAACCATCTGCGTAATATGTAGAATGAGTATTAATTTCCCCATTTCACAGATAAGGATACTGAGAATCAAGACATTTAAATAAGTGTATGAGGGCCACATAAGGGATAACTGTAGTCAGAAATGCAGTAGATTCAAGCCTTGATTTTGCTACTTATTACATGTGTGACTTTGGGCAATTCATTCCACATATTTTGGCCTGAGTTTCTTAATTTGTAAAATAGAGACATTGCACTAGATCAGAGATTCTTAAACTTTTTGGTATCATAGAACCTTTTGGCAGTCTGCCAAAATCTATGGAGCCCTTCTTGGTGGATCAGAGGATAGAATACTGGCATGGTGTTAGGAAGACCTGAGTTCAAATCCAGTCAAAGACACCTACTAGCTGTGTAACCTTGAGTAAGTCACTTAGTATCTACTGTCTCACTTTCCTCAACTAAATGGGGAGGGGTGATAACAGTACCTACTTCACTGGGTTGCCTTAGGGTGAAATGAGATGCTACTTACATAGGGGTTAGCACTGTGACTGGCACACACAGTGGGTACTTAATAAATGTTTATCCACTTCCTCCTTCCTTTTTCAGAATGTTTTTAAATGCACAGAATAAAATACATAGACTTAAAAAGGAAAACAATTATAGTTGCCAGAATATTTAAAGTCCTAAGTTCATGGAATCCAGGTTAAGAACCCCGAGACTAGATCATTTTTTACGGTACCTGTAAATAAAATAAAACCTGGTATTTAATCAGTGTCAGATATCTGACTTGAGCCCAGATTTTCTGCCTACATGTATAGTATTCCTTCTGCAACATTAGACAGTAATGGTAATGGTGATATGGGTGGTGATAATGGGGTGGGATTAATAATCACTAATTTTAGATCATACCAGGTGACAAAGAAAATGTTTGTTTTAATAGTAGAGGAATCTGAAATCTTTGGCACATGCTCACTGTTAGAATGAACAAGACTATGTGTGTAATGAGCATTACAATATATATATATAATAATATTTTGAATAATACCTTTTCTTTTTTAAGATCCCCCAAATTCTCTAATTTACCATACATAGACAAACACCAGTCAAGTAAACACATGAAAAGTAAAATAATGTTGACCACAAGGTGCATATGGACAAATTAATATTCACATAACCCTGCTCTCCCAAATCCTAGCCTAGGTATTTTCCCACAGGCCTGTGGCTGTGTTCATATAATATCAAAACTCTGATTTAAAAAATTTAAAAAAGAAAAAGTGAAACCACTGCCTGGCTTGGCTAGGCAACATCATGCAATGATTTTAAATGTCTTTCTCTTGATGGAATTAATTAATTTGGGCAATTGTTTGGGTGTTAAACCTAGTTTTATTGCCAATACTCACTTCCACTTAACCCTACCCCAGCTCCCCCAAAACAAGAAAATAATGGACATCATAGGGGCAACGCCACCACCTGATTGATTGAACATTTTCCTTTTTTTCTGCTGGCTAGGGTTGTAGAAAGCTGACCTGTGTATCCAAACCAAATCCCTCAGGCTGCAATTTAAAACCCATTCTCTTGTCTTGCCTTCAAAAATGAAGTGGTAATTACTCTGAATTCTGAATCAAAGGATGAGAAAAAAATAACTCCCATGATATTTGGCTTCTAATAAATGAAGCATTGATTCTCCCATCTACTGCTGGGGGGAATGGTCACTATAGTCTTGCTTTTCTCTCAATCAGTCTTTCCCCAACCCCACCCCCTCCACTTGCCTCCGTTCCTTTTCTTCACAGTGTGGACTACAAGGAGATTGATTCATCAGTGAAGCTTTAGCTGCATAAACATCAAAACTGAGCAGTCAGTGAAACCTGTCTAATAAAACAGGTGCAAAGGATAATCAAAAGTTCCCCACCTCAGGATGACTGGTAAAGGATCACCTGTCTGTGAAAAGATTCAAAATCAAGGGTAAAATGATCATCATCGTTTCCTTAAAAATCCATGGAACTTACCTTAAATAATAGCTGTGTTGAAAGGTGTTTAGTGGAACTCAAGCATAGCATGGATTAAAATTCAGAAAACCTTGATTCTGCTCCTAAATTGTTTGCTAAGTAGCTGTATACCCAAAGTCAAATAATTTGTAGATTGACAGATTTTGAGCTGGAAGGAATCTCAGAGGTCAATGAGTTCAATCCTTTCATCTTACAGATAAGGAAACTAAAGCTCAGAGAGGTTAAGTGAATTAATTGTCCAGGATGTGATACCATTCGTAAGCATCTGAGGCTGAATTTGAACTCAAGACTTCCTGACTCCAAGTCTAGCAGTCTGTCCACTATGCCATCATGGTGCCTCTTTTCCCTGAGCCTCTTTGCATTACATCTTTGAAATGAGATTTACAGATGGAAAGGACTTTGAAGATAATCCACTACAACACCTCCATTTTATAGGTGTGGGAAATGATCATCAGAGAGGGCATCAATTTTCCCAAAGCCAAGACAGGCAATAAGGATAAGAACCAGCATTTGAAACTCAGGTTCTCCAAATAGTAAAATTTGATTTCTCATATATTCCTATTACATCTCCTACTAAACTATTTCAGAATGTGTCAATTACATCCTTCTTAAACCTTACCTACATGATTTTTTTTTAAAAATCCAAAAAAAGCTATTGAGCTGTCTTTTCATGTTGGATGCTCCACCTAATATTCTGAACAATTTTTCAGACAAATATGATTTGATCTGAGAACATCTGCGAAATTCTGGAACACATTTTCCCCACCACTTGACTTTAAGCTTAATGCACCAGACATTTTCCCACAGATTTTGTGGCACACTATTGAACAAACATCAGTGATGCTTGTGTCTGGAGGAGCATCAATCTGAATTGAAAATTGGCCAGTTTAATATTATCATTAACAGAATTCTTAATTAGCTTGCTGATATTGTGAGTAGCACAGTTGTTTAAAAAAAAGAGCATTTTTTTCTCTATGACATTTCAAATCATTTCCTCCTTCCCTGAATTTTTGTTTCTTCAATAGAATTTAGGTGATGTAAATGATCACCCCCATTCCTAAACACATGAGTGCATATACGCACGTAGGCACATGAAGACACATGAAGACACAACCACATCCACGCACAACACAAAAGGCTTTCCAAGAGTAATTCTTAAAGGGAAAGGATTTTCAGGCTAAGGGAAGCTTGAAAGGGATGCCAACCTACAAATATACTATAAAGATTAGTGATTATAAAATGCAAAACACTCCAACTAAATCAGTAATGAAAATACCAAAGAAAGAAATGTAAAGAGTTAAGGTCTTCATATTTATGGAACATTTTTAAGCCTACGAAGCACTTTTTTGCAACAATATGATTAGGTAGTTAGTAAAAAGCATTGACTTCATTTTATAGATGAAGAAACTGAGTCTTGATGAAACAATTTGCCCAGGGCAATATGAACAATTACTAGTGTAGGTAGAAGTTAAATTCGGGTCCTCTGGCTTCAATTCAGGTATGCTGTAATATTAAGCCTGGTGGTCTTCAAATTACCATGAAAGTTTCCCCTTAAAGGAGGATGTAGCTTATAGAATCTATGCATGGAAACCATTGTTTTAAGACTAGGCATGATGGTCTTGAGGCTGCTATCATAACATTCTCCCCTTAAGGAAGGCTGTAAGCTTATGGAACATACATAAAGAAAAATATTGTTGATATTTTTGAAAGTTGATATAGCTGTGTCCCCCAAATAATATTTTGTCTATCACCATCTTGTTTCTCCCCCATAATAACAACACCTCCAAAATTTGCCCTGACGCCTGACATGCAAATTAACCAACTACGGGGAGGCCATCCAAAATCATTGTATAAGAACCTCGCTCTCAGAAGGGCACTTTGGAGCATATCCTTTTCCCTCCAAAAGGAGCACAGTTTCCTGCTGGAACATCCACTTCATGGTGAATGGACCCATGTCTCTATACTCCCCAGTGCAGTGCTGCCTTTATGTGAGTTATACTCTATACTAGTGTGTATGCCTGAATTGTATGTTTGGTCCCATTGCTTATTATAAAGCTTTGCATTGAATTGACTCCTATTCTATTACATGTCATTCTCAGTACCCAAACTCATTAAGGGGTTGCTTGTCCAGACATATCTAGTCCATGGGGCCTTTTCTTAGACATAACCTGGATACCCAAACAAGAACTTATCCTATTGATAGCTGCACCTACCCTGGGGAGGTAGAGCACTCTAAACCCAGTTATAGAAAGCAACATCCTTCCAAGAAGGACGACTATATGCACAGGACTGTCACAAAACAAAGTATTCTTTAAGAATTTTGTACATCAGTGCAAGTCTGGGAGCAGCAGTCTCACATCTAACTTTGAACTTTCACAGCCCAACCAGCAATCTCGATCTCCCCCAAAACGGCAACTACTGTCAAGAATCAGCTGATTGTGAATGTCCTAAGGGAAGACCAGGTTCCCTATAACAAGATCACTGTTATTAGGGTTGGTGCAGTTGGCAAGGCATGTGCCATCAGTATTTTAATGAAAGATTTGGCTGATGAACTTTCCCTAATTGATGTAATAGAAGACAAAGTAAAGGGAGAGATGATGGATCTCCAACATGGCAGTTTTTTCCCCAAAATGCCAAAGATTATTTCTGGCAAAGACTACAGTGTGACTGCAAACTCCAAGCTGGTTGTTGGTACAGCTGTAGCACATCAACAGAAGGGAGAAAGTCCTCTTAATTTGGTCCAGCACAATGTGAATATCTTTAAATTCATCATTCCCAATATTGTTAAATACAGCCAAAATTGCAAGCTGCTTATTGCTTCCAGTCCAGTAGATATTTTGACATATGTGACCTGGAAGTTAAGTGGTTTTCCTAAGAACCATGTTATTGGAAGTGGTTACAATCCAGATTCTGCCTTTTTCCGTTACCTAATTGGGGAGAGACTTGGTGTCTATTTTTCAGGTTGTCATGGAGGGGTCCTTGGGGAACATGTAGACTCCAGTGTTCCTGTGTGGAGCAGTGTGAATGTTGCTGGTACCTCTCAGAAGAATCTTTATCCTGTTTTGGGAACTGATGCTGATTCAGAGAATTGGAAAGATGTTCATAAACAGGTGGTTGAAAGTGCTTATGAGGTGATCAAGCTGAAGGGCTACACTTCCCAGGCCATTGGCTTGTCTGTGGCAGATTTGGCAGAAAGCATTATAAAGAATCTTAGGAGAGTGCATCCAGTTTCCACCATGATTAAGGGCCTATATGTCATTAATGAGGATGTCTTCTTTAGTGTCCCAGGTGTCTTGGGACACAATGGCATTTCAGATGTGGTGAAGGTAAATCTGAATCTGGAAGAGGAGGACCATTTAAAGAAGAGCACAGATACTCTTTGGGGAATCCAGAAGCTGCAATTTTAAAGCCTTTTAACGTGTTGCCATTTTACTATCGAGAACATGACAGTGGTTAAGGGGCTATGTGTGATGAGCTTTTCAAATAGGTCAAATTCTTCTTCTGATTAGCGATCGAACACCAGAAATGTAAAACCTGTGAACACAGTCTAGTCTCTTCCTAAAATTAGAAATGAGGAATAATACAGTGTGACTACTATTTGTCAAACCCTGTTGTTGTCTGTGTATGACGCTGGATGTGACTTGTATAGTATTAGTAGTTGGTGTCAAGCAAAGCCAGTGCCCCACAGGTATATAACTGCCTGCCTTGTATGTAGGTGCTACAGGTTCCCGTAGGTACAGAAGACAATATTCCTGGATACAAAACACCATACAGTAATAATACTTTATTGATGCATTGATTACCTTTGTGCTCCCCTCCATCAGGGCTCTACAGTGTGGCCTCATGCAGCACCTTGCCAGGGGACCTGATTTTGTTTTAATAGTTGTAAATTTCCATATTATATAAAAGATCTATTTATGTACAAGGATGAAATCAATTACTGAAATGTCATACTAACCCTAAATACTGAATAAACAACAAATAACTGATTAAAATTTTTTGTACATCAAGTTACCTCTTAGCTTGCTGACTACCTAACAAAATAGCCATCCCTGTTTCTTACCCATAATTTACCTCCTTGATTATCAATTCACATAGAGATCCACCTTTCTATCCATAGTCCCTATTTCCTTCAACACGTCTAACCAAATGTACTTTCTCTTTAAATTCACACTTGCTGATAATTTTTTTTTAAATTAAAAAAAAAACTATTTAAAAACTTTGCTTTTTTTGTTTTGGGGTTTTTTTAAACTTTTCTCTTTCTCTATATGTGTCTGTCTCTCTCAAATATGGATCATTATTCTCATCCTTTATCCTTTTTTCTTCCCTTCTTTGTTACCTTTAAACTAAGCTCACTTTCAGTTTCTAGTCACTACAGGCAGATCAAAAAGAACTATCCCTAATAATTGTCCAATAACTGAAATTTCACTTGCAGGGCAAAGAGTCAGAGCTGTGGCTGATTAACAGAGAAGCAGCTCTACCCTGCCTGTATTAGCCATCCAATAAAGTGAGAGCTATAAAGGTTAGTGAGATATAAAGTTTATTGGGTTCCAAGTAATGTGACCAATAGGGTCTAGACTGAGGACTAGACATTTTCTCTGATCCATATGACCTCTCAAACCTCTCCAAAACAGAAATTATGCACTAAAGGTAAGACAACTTCAGCTATCTCCATGGTGAGGGATATCTGGAATACAAAAGAAGGTTAAAGAACAATGATAACCACAAAAACAAGAATCTATGCTTACCCTGAGTTTACTCAAAATTCTCTCCAGCATTGATCTGTCATGTTACTGTCAGTGAGGCTGTACTAGCCAACTCAAAGACTTGATCCATGGGCTTACAACAAAACCTAATCAAATATCCTGATCCTTCTTCCCTCTTTCCTGAAGATTAGGACTCCAGGTTGTGAATGTTTGCTGGAGTTGTGACAGTCAATGACATAGCAGGTTTCTGTGGTGCACAAGGTCTCTGAAGAAGAGCAGAAAAACGGAGGGGTAGCACATGTGTCTGGGCTTGAAATAGAGCTCAGTCCCACACCCTGACCCCTGACTCTTCCTCCTAGAGCCTTAGAAACCAAACTATAGAAATCGGCCCCATAGCAGTACCTCTCACTGTATGGTATATGAGATGGCTCTCTGGAAGGGAAGGGAGATAAATAATGGACATACCTATAATGATGTAAGAAAGATAAAGTATCAATAAAATATTATTTCAAATAAAAGAGATTTGCTGGTCATAATCAATGTGATACTTTGACTGGGAGCCAAGTGATGCCACCATTGGGAAGAGAGAAGTGAGGAATGTTATCAAGTTGAGACTGGGGTGAAAATTGGCTACATTTGTTGGTGGGACATCTGGGTAGATGTATCTGGATTGTAACCACTTCCAATAACATGGTTCTTAGGAAAACCACTTAACTTCCAGGTCACATTTGTCAAAATATATGTATTGATACATATACAACATACATGTATATATGTATATATGTCATATAGTTATATATATGAATATAATCTTCTTATCATTATATGTGTAATCTTCCTATCAATGTATGTCATTCTTGTTTTTTTTTTAATAGAGAACGTCTCTTTTTTGTTTTTAGTACTTTTAAAAATAAGTCCAAGACAGTCATGGATAGGGCTCTGGCATCCTGGAGAGAGGTTGAAACTGGATATGTAGATTTGGGAGGCATCCAAATAGAGGTGATAATTGTAGGTATGCAGGAGATCACCAAGAGAGAGATTGTAGAGAGGTAAGATTTTCTAAAAATGGTTATGTCCATGTCTTTCCTACCTGTACGGCCTTGTAATATGAAGAAGGACCTATTTCTTTGGAGACTTTAAGCCAAGGTCATGATGTCCCATATTTGATATGAAAATCAGAATTCCTTTCAGAAGCAAAATACTCAACTTCCAAAGGTTAAATTGGATGATTCTTGAAAAAATGTTTCTACCTTGCTAAATGTAAGAGTTTGAAAAGAGGCTAAGAACAGAATATTGGCCATTTCTGAGACATTTTTTTTTTTTTACTGAATCAGAATTCTTTTTTAATTTAAATTTTTGGTATTTTTTTTCATTTTTCTTCTTAATATTCAGGAACAAACAAACATTGACGGTCTTCCCTTCTATGTAAACCCTTCCCTTCTATTGCAAACCTTCAAACTCCATATAAATGTCAGCTCTTACTATATCTCTGGTTATTAAACTCCTATCCAGCTTTGAAAGTGCAGGGCAAATACCACTTATTCCATGAAGCTTTCTCTAATCACCATAGCCAGAAATGATCTTTTCTTATCAACTCTTTCAGTACCTTGACAGTTAAGCAATTATGAATTTACTCTATTCAGTTTTGTAATAATTATTTCTTGCCTGTAAATATCTTGTGTCTTCTACTACAATGTTATGTGAGTTTAAAAAGCATATCTTCATCTTGAATTGCTCTCATTGCTTTGTATGGTGTCTTGCACATAGTAGGTGCTTAATAAATGTTGAATTTGTAGTCCTATTTGGAATATCTATCTATCTATCTATCTATCTATCTATCTATCTATCTATCTATCTATCTATATATATATATATAGTCATACAGACTATGCTTTCTTGTGGTAGTGAAAATGTTTCCATTGATTCATTTGATCCTAAAATACATTCTTTCGAACTCTAGTGAGTGATTTCATTTTATTTTTTTGTCACCGTTTCAATATGGTCAAAAATTTTATCATTTGGTAGCCAGCCTGTTTGTGTTGAGTCTCTTAGCTAACCTCTTCTCCAGATAACATATATTATCTTACAATCAGAGGATTTAAAGTTAGAAGGGAACTTAGAATTCATCTAATACAACCTTCTCATTTTACAAATCAGGAAACAGAACCAGAGATTTTCAATCTTACCCAGGTTACATAAGTAGTAAGCAGTGAAGTAAAAATTCGAACCCAAGTTTTCTGATTCCAACACTGCGCTCCTTCCACTGGACTGGCTCTCCTGAGCTACCTCTCCTGAGTACCATAATATAAAGCTCCCTAAATTTTGCTAAGTTTCACTGATAGGTTTTATAAGAAATATTTCTGTTTCAGCACAGTTTTGCCTCTCTTGCTATGATATGTATTGATACATATATACACATACATGTATATATGTATGTTATATATATATGAATATAATCTTCTTATCATTATATGTATAATCTTCCTATCACTGGATGTCATTCTTGTTTTTTTTTAAATAGAGAACATCTTTTTTTTGTTTTTAGTACTTTTAAAAATAAATTTAATGTTATTTTTCACATTGCCTAAATTACCTCCTATATTTCTCCCCCTCCCAGACACACAGACCATATAATGACTTCTATATATAAAAAGAGGAAGAAATGAAAAAAACCATAATCAACACATCAAAATATGCCAATGTATGCATGGTTTCACACCCATGTATAGCTCTGCCCACCTCCCCACTCCCATTCCCCCGCCCCCTACATACACATACACAACACACATACAAATTTCTGCAAATGAGTAGGAGAAAGTATCTTCCCAAATCTCTTCTTTGGGGCCATGCTTATTACATGTAATTTTTCAATATTAATTTCTAGTTATTTGCTGGTGGTTGTTCTTTCCATTGACATTGCTATAGTCATTCTGTTTATTGCTTTCTTGGCTCTGCTAACTTCACTTTGTATCAATAGAAAACACTTTCAAAAGAAGAAAGCATAACCCCAATTAGTACTCAGCTTCCTCATTGCAGTTGGAATGCTTCTTTCATGTCCTTCCCACCCACAGACTCTGACCCTTACGCAGACTAAATAGAGTCCATATCTAGGAATGGATTCATTTTTCTCACTCCTGTTTGGCAGTGGCATCTGTGACTGACATCATTTTTAGGTTGCGGTTTGGAGGGCTGATGGGCCAGAGGTACTACTTCCTATTAGTATTTATGATTGAAATTCAGAAAAATTGCCTTTAGGTGAACAATGGCATCTCAGCTCCGGCCCTCATACTCTAAACATATAATCTACTCATTGCAATGGGTAACTGAGTTAAGAGGAAAGTGGAATAATTTTCCAAATAATTTTGTTTTCTCTTTTCCCTATAAAGAAAACCTATCTTTCTAAGCATTACACTTCCTAAAATTAGGCAGCATGGCAAAACAGAAAGAATGCTAGATTTGGACTGAAATAAGCTTGATTCAAATCCTGGACCTGCCACATACCACCTGGACAACCTCAATCAAACACTTGACCTCTGTGGGCCTCAGTTTTTGTTTTTCATTTTTTGTTTTTGTTTTTTAATCTGTATAATGAATGAATTGAACTCAAATATCTGTTTCCTTCTAGCTCTAAATCTGAGTCCGTAATTATTACTAATTGCTAATATAGTCATATATTACTAAACAGATACCATACAGCATTG